CCTAGAGGTCAGCCAGGAGACCAAGAGGACTCGCTAGAAAGCAGCAGAAGCAGGCCAGGAGACCAAGAGGACTCGTTATGAACCCTAGAGGTCAGCCCGGAGAGCAAGAGCACTCGTTATGAACCCTAGAGATCAGCCCGGAGACCAACAGGATTCATTATGAACCCTAGAGGTCAGCCAGGAGACCAAGAGGACTCGCTAGAAAGCAGCAGAAGCAGGCCAGGAGACCAAGAGGACTCGTTATGAACCCTAGAGGTCAGCCCGGAGACCAAGAGGACTCGTTATGAACCCTAGAGATCAGCCCGGAGACCAACAGGATTCATTATGAACGCTAGAGGTCAACCCGGAGACCAAGAGGACTCGCTAGAAAGCAGCAGAAGCAGGCCAGGAGACCAAGAGGACTCGTTATGAACCCTCGAGGTCAGCCTGGAGACCAAGAGGACTCGTTATGAACCCTCGAGGTCAGCCTGGAGACCAAGAGGACTCGCCACAAAGCAACAGAAGCAGGACAGGAGACCAACAGGAATCGTTATGAACCCTAGAGGTCGGCCCGGAAACCAAGAAGACTCTTTATGAACCCAAGAGGTTAGCCCGGAGACCAACATGATTCGTTATGAACCCTAGATGTCAGCCCGGAGACCAAGAGGACTCGTTATGAACCCTAGAGGTCAGCCCGGAGACCAACAGGATTCATTATGAACACTAGAGGTCAGCCCGGAGACCAAGAGGACTCGCTAGAAAGCAGCAGAAGCAGGCAGGGAGACCAACAGGACTCGTTATGAACCCTAGAGGTCAGCCTGGAGACCAAGAGGACTCGTTATGAACCCTAGAGGTCAGCCCGGAGACCAAGAGGACTCGCTAGAAAGCAGCAGAAGCAGGCAGGGAGACCAACAGGACTCGTTATGAACCCTAGAGGTCAGCCCGGAGACCAAAGAGGACTCGCTATGAACCCTAGAGGTCAGCCCGGAGACCAAGAGGACTCACTAGAAAGCAGCAGAAGCAGGCCGGGAGACCAACAGGACTCTCTATGAACCCCTGTAGGTTCACTTTTTCATTTAGAAGTACCATCTTTCAACCCAATACCTTAGTGTGCCTGTTTGATACATTTTCAGAAGTGTATTGCAGATGCCTCCGATCACACGTCTGACTGGATGTGGGTTCTTCTGTGGCTGGTTTGAAACCGACTGGCTGTCTTTGTGGGTTTCCTCATCAGATGGCTCCTGGTTTTTCTGTTCCACTAATTCTCTGAACCTTCTGTTCAACTGTTCCACGTCAAGCTCTAAGGTCGTGTTTTTCTCCTCCAAGGCGGTGTTTTTCTCCTCCAGGGTGGCGTTTTCCTCCTTCAGCGTGGTGTTTTCTCTTTCCAAGACAATGGTTTTCTTATACAGAGCCTTCCTTTCCTGCCTCAGGTTGGAGTCTTTCTGGGCATAAACTCTTTTTTCCCCTTCCAAGATCAAGTTTTCCCGTTGCAGGGCGGTGTTTTTCTCCTCGAGGGCGGTGTTTTTCTCCTCGAGGGCGGTGTTTTTCTCCTGCAGGGCGGTGTTTTTCTCCTTCAGCGCTGCGGTTTCTTTCTCCAAGTCGGTGTCTGTCCTATCCAGAAGAACCCTCCTTTTTTCCTTCCTCACCTGCTCGTAAACAGAGCTTTCCTTCTTCAGGGTGGCGTTTTCCTCCTTCAGGGCGGTGTTTTCCTCCTTCAGCGCGGCGTTTTCTTTCTCCAAGACTGTGGTTTTCTTATCCAGACGAATCCTCCTGTTATGCCTCAGGTCGGAGACTTCCTCGGCATAAGCTTTGTTTTCCCCCTCCAAGATGAAGTTCACCTGCTCATAGACAGACATTTCCTTCTTCAGGGCGGTGTTTTTCTGCTCCAAGTTGGTGTTTTTCTCCTCCAGGATGGTGTTTTTCTGCTCCAAGTTGGTGTTTTTCTCCTCCAGAGCAGTGTTTTTCTCCTCCAACACGGCGTTTTCCTCCTTCAGCGCAGCGTTTCCTTTCTCCAAGACAGTGGTTCTCTCATAGAGAACCTTCCTTTCCTGCCTCAGGTCAGAGACTTCCTTCACATTAACTGCGTTTTCACTCTCCAAAAGGCAGTTTACCTGTTCCAACACAGAGTTTTCCTCCTCCAGGCCGGTGTTTTTCTCCTCCAGAGTGTTGGTCTTCGCCGTCAGGTTGATGTTCTCCTGCTCCAAAGCCCTGAATTTCTGCTTCAGGACGGCGATTTCCTTGTCATAGTCCCTGCTTTTCTTCTCCATGGCCGTGTTTATCATCTCCAGTCTGGCGTAATCCTCTTCCAAAGTTATGTTCATGTCCACCAGCTTTTTAATTTCTTCATCCCTCTCCCGAACAAGCTTGTCTTTTTCAAATGCTGCTTGTTCTAAGGTCATAACTTCAATTTTTAATTCCTCATTTGCTTTAAAGAGTGCATGACTCTCAAAAGACATCCTGCCAACTTCTTCCATGATCTCGTGGAGCTTCTGTCTCTCTCTCGCTAACATCCGTTGTACTCTTTCTTCCTCAGAATCAGAAGTCGAAGTCTTACTACTCTGACTCATCGTTGATACTTTCTGTCTGGAAAAATCGTTTTTAATCTCTTGTTGGGATACAATCCTTCTTCTTGCTCTCCAGGTTCTGCAATGATTATGACGGTAGAATTCAAGAGTGCAGCTTTTTGTGCATCACTCTTTGTGACATCAAATTGCGTGATGTCACAAAGTGATGTCACTACCTCAGCAGAACAACTAGAAAACTGTTGAAGTTTGAATAAAAACAAACTTTACGGCTGAATGCAGCTTGGTTAAGCTGATGGCCATTGGAGACAGTTCAGCTGGTAAAACATCACCAAAGCTGAAATCCACACTTGGGAGACAGCGGCTCTTGAGGACAATGGACTGGCACAGCAGGATGCCAGGACCAACGGTTAAAAGATGTGCCCGAAAACAGAAAAAGGGGAAACAGGCGAGCATGTTACCCAACTGGTGCCTAGGAAGCCACCAATTCTGACTTTATCTGGCTAATGTCCGCTCACTGGATAAGATAGTGGATTTGTTACATCTGAGCTGAGTTGTTGATAAATATTTAGCACAAGTGTATTTTGGGACTCACAGCTTCGATAAATCTGTATTTCTGACCCATTCTCACATCTTAATTCTTTTTGGCACCTCTTCTGTGAACTCTGATTATTTATTTACTCCGATTTTTAATTGGATTGAACTAATCAAGTTTCCTCGGATGTGTTTGAGAACATTGTCTTTTGGGGGGGGGGGAAAGTCTACCTTGACTTCAACTTTTAGATTCATTATTAATCCTTTTATTACAACAAGTAAGCCAATACATCATGCTTATAAACAAGAACCACCCCATGATGTTTCCACTGCTGTTTTTGGGGATAATGTGCAGAACTATTTTTCTAGCAGACATTGTGTTTTTGGTCTCATCTGATTTGACTGCAGTGTATTTCACAGGCATTTTAATATCTGTCCAAACTTTATCGACAAACTTTAACCACGCTTTTCTCTCCAGCAAGTTTTCACAGATGCTATTTACTTATTGTTTTATTGTTGTTGCTTTTTTTTTTTTTAGCTTTCCTAAAGTTTTTCTTTGCTCTTGCGATTATTTTTGACTCCTTTCTTAGAAATCTTGAGAGGAGCAGCTAGACGTAGTTTATTTATAATAAATTGATGTTCTTTTGTGTTCCACTGAGTTTTGGCCGAAAGGTGCAGCATTAAGACGTTTAAAAATATATTTTTATGCAACTATAAAATTGAAGAAGTCTCCATTTCTCCCCATTATGACATGATTCCTGTGCAATAATTTGTTAATGAAAAACCATTTATTGGTCATGAAGTAGGACTAATTGGCTGATTGACTGCTTTTTATGTAATGACAAATTTGAGCAATTTTTCTGGCTCTCTATTTCTTTTTGAAGCTTTATTAATTCATTTTGTGTCTCCACTTTATTACACATCATGTCTAGACTAAATTTGGCTTGTTTACTGTGTGTGTGTGAGTAAATTTGGGTTTTAATTTAATGCCAATGGTCTATTAGGAATAGATTTATTCAGAAAATGATGTTTAGTATTTCGTATTTTTGCTTTCCAGTAACTCCTGAATAATCTCCCAGAACAAAGAAAAACATATCTGTGTAGACCAGCAGGCCGAATGTTTGTGGATGTTGTGTTTACCAGGGGAAAAGCAGAGACAAGGTGGGATTTTTCCCAGCCAACTTTGTCCAACGGGTCCGACCGGGTGAGCGGGTGTGGAAGGTCACCGCTGCTTTCCATGGCAACCGAGACAAAGGCCAGATGACTGTGAAAGAGAATCAGGTGCGCAACCAGGAGATGCACACATTTTTCCTATCTTCTGCATGCACACACTCGCTCTAGGCATTTTTATTTCTAAGCGGATGCAAATTAATTCAGAAAGTGTTAAAATTATAGAGGACAGCAGTATGTAGCTTGCAGCATCTGCTCAGTTTCCACCCAGGTCCTAAAAGTGTTTTCTCACCCCTGCTCCTATTCTGTGCCCTCTTGTTTTCCCTCCTCTCCAGATCTGCATCGGGAAAAACGAGGAGATTGACGGCTTCCTTCGGCTGACTAGCGGGAAGAAGAGAGGCCTTGTCCCTGTGACATTTCTGCTGGAAATATGATGGCAATATTTCAGATTTCTCCTTGATTTAGCAGCGGAGCTCCCAGGGATGGAGGAAAACTCAGGAGTGTTTAGCCAACACCTCCCTGACAACCATGCACCCGCCTCCACCCCTCCAAGTATCACTGCTGCATCTTGAGTGGAAAACAGCCTGCAGCTTTGGCTTTTTGGCTGAAGATTAAGACAACCAGGAGCTTCTTTAGAGCTACTTTGCTTGTAGCACAGCTTCACTTTGTGAAGCTTCTTATATTTTCACCAGAGGTATGTAGCAGTTATTTTCAAGAGAATGAGTGTAAAGGTACTCTGGCTACCTCATTAGCCATCTACACTGGCCACTCACTCACAAAATAGAGGAAAGGACCTTTTTGTCATGATGTCGAGGCATGTTGCAGTTATTTGTGAAAAGAAATAACTGCAACATGTTGCTTGTGCAAACCCGTTTTTGGTTGAGTAGAGTGGAGATTAATAATTTTGGTCACAATGTCCAGGTTTTTAATGGTACATAACTCAGATTGTCGAACATAAAATGATCCAGGTATTACTGTGTACTAATGTCTTTTCTGCTCTATCTTGGTCCAATCAAAGTCACAACACATCCTTTTGTGTCTCACTCACTCAAGGGTTTTCCCTGCATCCCAAAACGCTTTTCGGTGATTACAGCACGGCACATTTGCACTCTTCACAGCTTCAATGTGACAAATACTTGCATGCACCTTGGGGAGCTCTTAGTTTGCCCTTCAAAGGTTCTCCCATCCACACGATTTTCCAGAGGGTTTGTATTTTCACTTTCTTCTATGTAGCTCAATGGACCATTAGGATCTGCGTGCTGTTGTTGCATCATAAACATAATTTATCTAAGGCTACGTTCACAATGCAGCCCGAAGTGACTCAAATCTGTTTTTTGGGTTGTTGTTTTTTTTTTTTTGCCGTGGTCGTTCACACTTCCAAATATAAGCAACCTGTATGTGATCTCCAGTGTGAACTACAAACAGCCTGAAAGTGTCCCGCATGCGCAGTAGAGGGCGCAATAACGTCACACATAGAGAGCGATTTGCCAACCGCCATAAAGAAGAAGTGCTCAGTGTTTGCGGCAGTAAACACGGATGCTAACGGTGGAGCATAGCTTGCACATTTGAAGTTGTTGCCCGCCTGAGCCAGCATATGAACAACTTAATCCTTTTTGTCGTCTGCCATTGTTGTTTTTCTTCCCGCTCGCGCGTATGGGGACACAGAATAGTGACGTTTGTCGAGTATCAGTGACGTTCAGGTCTGTTGAATGCGACCTGGACGTTCGGTCACATTTGAATCGGAAAGGTTTCGGATATCCAAGTGGCCTGGGTCGCATTCGAAAAGAATCCGACTTGTGTTGTTCAGACTGACATGAAAAGATCAGATACAGGTCGCATTACGGCAGAAACATCCGAAATGGGCCACTTCAGGCTGCAGTGTGGACGCAGCCTATGTGTAACGTCCTGTATTATTGTCATGTCATGCCATAGGAAAGGGCAAACGAACCAGAGCGACTGACTAAAAGCCATATTCAGGTTTCTTGATGGAGAAAAATTACTAAATACTGTCAGTCTTTTCCACAGAGAACTAATTTTCAAATCACCTTATTTATTTAATTTATTGATCTGTCAGAAATTATAAGGCTTGGTTAAACTAAGAGTGTTTGTATATAGCCTTCTTAAAACACTGTATATATATTAGCTCCTGAAAGCACGCTAACACAAAGTTTTGCAGCTTTGCAGGAGCCGACTGAGGGCATTAATTTCTCTAACCTGCAGGAGATTCCTGTTTGTCTCATGTATCTGCAGCATGTAATGCATCTCTTTGCTCAATTACCATCTCGCCGTGTCAGCACAAATATTTCAAGATACTATGCACAACGGTTCTAGTCACTCACTTTGTTTTGTTCACAGCTTATTTCCAAAGCAGCTCACCGTGTCTTTGTCATGAAGTAGTTTGGCGAAGATTTAAAATTGGACTTTGAAATCAGCGGTCTTGTGTGTTCACTGTTCTATTTCAATAATCCTCACCGACTAGAACTAGGATTGGCTCAGGATAACGATTACCAGTTCTACCTAACTGCACACCTACCAGGCTCAGCTCTCAGCATGATTGGTCATCATGTGGTCCTCAAATAATGCTAATAAAGTTGGATGAACATTCAAGTTGTGTCTTTGGTTATTTAGAAAATAATGGTTGGTTTTTAGTGTTTAGTAAGGATGGAAAATGGGAATTAATGGTGTGTTTTTTGAGGTTTTTCACAGTCACATTATAACCCTAAGCAGTTCATTTGGTTGGTTTCTTACAAATTCATCAAATAAAATCTTATTTGTATAGCACATTTCAGGAACACTGCATTTCAAAAATACAAAGAGCACATAGTCAACAATTGAAACATTACATTCTGCTGTTACACAGCAGATTGTTGATTTATTATTTCACTTATAAATGTTTCAAAAGCAACTGAGCAGGTGGGTTTTTAGTCAAGATTTAATTGCACTCAGTGTTTCAACTGTTTTGCAGTTTTCTGGAAGTTTGTTCCAGTTTTGTGGTGCGTAGAAGCTGATTGCTGCTTTTCCATGTTTGGTTCTGGTTCTGGGGATGCAGCCCAGAACCAGAAGACCTGATTGATCTGGAAGGTTGCTATGACAACAGCATATCTTTAATGAATTGTGGTGCTAAGCTGTTCAGTAATTTATAAACTTAAGAGAGTATTTTAAACTCTATTCTCTGAGCTTTAGAACTGGGCTAATGTGCTCTAACTTCCTGGTTTTAGTCAGAACTCCAGTTGCAGCTGTTTGATTTTTATTTTTTTTTATTGATTTTTTTATTTTAGGCAGACCTGAAAGGACACTGTTGTAGTAATTCATGCGACTAAAGATAAACGCATGGATGAATTTCTCTAGATGAGGCTTATAAATTCATGTTAGAATGGCCCAGTCAAAGTCCAGACTTAAATCCACTTCATTATCTGAAAACATTTGAAAACTGATGTTCATAAATGTCTAAATGTCTCAAAAGACAATGTTAGCCATAATAACCATGACAGATAATGTTTTCAGTCACATGTTGATTTCTTCCACTTCATCAACCTCTTAAAAAATGACAAATAAAACATAAAATTCTTTGTTTTTCCCTGTTTTTTAGTGTTTCTGAACACACTATAAAATATTCATTCATATTGTGCAGTTTAACCTCATATTCACAAAGTAATTTCACAGCTAATTTCACAAACTGTACTTGAACAGAAATTTTCTCGTCTCGTGACCTCTTTCCTCAAATTTTCTGAGCGCTTCCACTGGAATTGGTAGTGACAAGACTGCTTTTTCCTAATAACCATAAATAACACGATTAACTCCCAAGAAAAATAATTTTCAACAGAGGAGCTACTGGCAGGCCGTGGACTGTAAGCTGGCAAAGAGAGCACCGTGTCTCTGTGAGCTTGTGTTTCTCCCTGCTGGGGTGCGAGGAACATTTCTCAAATCATGACCCAGTTCTGTTATCGAAGTGGATCAAATGTGATTTTCATCTCTGCACCGAGGCAGACAGAAATGTGTGCAACTGGCAGTACATCAAGTCAGATGAACGTTTCATAAAATTGCTGATTTTGGCGCTCAAGACGGTGCGCTGCTCCAGAAATGCCGTGCACTTCCTGTACAGCCGAGACCTTCGTTTTGCATATACTAAGTGAAATGCCTGAGGAGAAAATCTGAAATTATCGTTAATTTTCTCAAACAGCAAAACTGATCAGTTGTGGCTCCTTCCAATAATACAAACCCCAGAAAAGATCTTAAAACGTGTAAGGTGTCGTTTGTAAAGCAATAATTCGGGTTACTTAGCTTTTCACAAGAGAAAAAAATAGGTTTCATTTTTTGGTGTCAGATTTTCACCATGTTATTAATTTATAACGGTTTCAAATTTGATATTCATTAGCAGGCTACATATTTAGTTTTAAAACTAAGTACAGCCTACAAATATGTAGCTCTAAATAAATACTTAAATTAAATATTAAGTTAACAAACTCAATATTTATCTCCAACCAAAATTAGGTTGTTACAAACTAAATATGCAGCAAAATATACACAATAAATGTAAATATTTAGTTTTGAAACTAAATAATTAGCTCTAAACATTTAGCTTCAAACTAAATTTTTAGCTTCAAACTAAATATTTAACTCCAAACTAAATATGCAGCTAAATATACAAAACAGATGTAAATATTTAGTTTTGAAACTAAATTAGTTTTCCTGGGAGTTAATTGTATTTATGGTTATATAGGAAACTAAATATTTTTTGAGACTAAAGATTTAGCTCCATTTAGCTTCAAGCTAAATGTTTAGTTCTAAACTAAATATGCAGTAAAATCTAAACATTAAATGTAAATATTTAGTTTTAAAACTATTTTTTCTTGGGAGTTAATTGTGCTATTTATGGTTATATAGGAAAGTAAATATTTTGTTTTGAATCAAAATATTTAGCTCTAAACTAAATATGAAATATAATCTAAACAATAAATGAAAATATTTTGGGTTGATACTTAATATTTAGTTCCAAACATTTAGCTTCAAACTAAATATTTAGATCCAAACTAAATATGCAGCTAAATATACACAATGGATGTAAATATTTAGTTTTGAAACTAAATTATTTTTTTTCTTGGGAGTTAATTGTGTTATTTATGGTTATTAGGAAACTAAATATTTAGTTTTCAAACTGAATATTTAGCTCCAAACTAAATATGCAGCAAGTATTACACAATAAAAGTACATACTTAGTTCTAAAACTAAATATTTAGCTCTAAACATTTAGCTTCAAACTAAATGTTTAGATTCAACTCAATGTAGTTTGCATGCAAAATATTTAGATAGAAGCTAAACATTTATTTATAAGCTAAACATTTAACTAATACACATATTTGCCTCTAGCCAGAAGTGGACAGTGGTGGAGAAAGTACTCAAAAAATGTACTTAAGTAAAAGTACAAATACACAGACAAAAATGTACTTAAGT